GGGGGGGTAGCAGTGCTGGGGAAGCAGCTGCCACCTTGGGCATGTGATTTTGGGGTGGGATTGCAGGCTGAGCTGTTGGGGCTGTGATGGGGACCGTGGACATGGGGATGGCAAGGAGGCAGCCTTGTGCCCAGGATCAGACCACATGAATGCCTCCTGCTCTGTCACCTTGGGCCAGGCCCTTCCTCTGCCTCAGTTTCCCCAGGCGTTGTTGCGAGGGGATATGCCTGCTCATTGCCTGCTGCCTGATACAGCCCCAGGGAGTGGAGGGACAGCTGTGGATGAGGGCTGGGGTTGGGGTGCCCTTGGGGAGCCAAGCGTTGTCTCCAGAGCCCTTGAGCTGCCCTTGGGCGCTGCGTCCCCCCGGGGACAGCAAATCTTGGTGAGGGGAGGCACTGCAGTGAGGAGACCCTGTCCTCAGGCGGTTCCTCCCACCTGAGGCCCATGTCCTTCAGAGTCCTTGGCGGTGTGTAACCCACGGGAGCGTCCGCGTACCCGCTCCCCTCCCACCAGCCCATCCATGGGGCTGCCAGTACCCGCAGCGAGGACTGCGCCGGTTGGGCAGCCTGCCAGCGTCCCCTGCCCGCCCCTGCTCAGCGCGTGATGCTCCTGCACCCACCAGATCCCAGCTTCAAGGTCACTGCCAGTGGGCTGGCTGGCAGGCATGGGCATCTGGAGGGGACCTCTGGTCCCTCATCCCCAGGCGATGCCTTGGCTAGCACCTGGGCTCGCAGCCTCGGTTTCCCTTGCTGGCTGGGGACGATGGCCGTGAAGGCGAGGCTGGAGCCCTCCCAGCCAGGGAAACTGGGGCACGGGGCAGTCCTGGTCTCTGTATGGGGGCACAGCCATTTCAGACCAAGAGATTTTAAAGTTACTTTAGCTGTCATTTTGGGATCAGGCTGCAGTGTTTCCCGGGATGGTGTTTGGGGTCTGACCTCTGCCTGTTTGTCCCAGGCACAGCGAATCCAGGCCAGCCGGGCCATGCTGTGATCCCCCACCCTGTTGCCAAAACTCCCTCAGTCTCAGGCCCTCGAAGATCTCCTGTCCCATCCTGTGGGCCACCTGTCCCGTCCCAAGGTCCTCCTCTCCCAAGCCCTCTTGGATCATCCCATCCCATCCCTTCCCATCCCAAACCTCTATGCCTTGATTCCATCCTGTGATCCCATCCCATGATACACCTGTCCAATCCTAAATCCTATTATCCTATCCCAGATCCTTCCCTTCCCTTCCCTTCCCTTCCCTTCCCTTCCCTTCCCTTCCCTTCCCGAACCGCTGCAGGCTGGGAGCATTTGTATGTGATTTGTCCTGCCTTCTGCCACCACCAGGATGCCCAGAGGTGGGGGTTT